GCAAATCTTATCTTACGGTTTCCTCTTCCGCGCATACACATATATTTATGTATGTATGTGAGCTCCCTCTTCCAAAATGTCATTGGTTTTAACCCTCTGTGTTAGTTCCTTTTTCCTACAGCGCTTTTTCTCTTAATGCACTTTTTACAAAGTCTCCGTCCTTGCTTCTTCCGCTTTTCTTGCCAACACTTGTATTTCTCTCCCCCGCTTAAATTTTGATATGCTGATTAGTGCGCATACTTTATTGGCGGTCGTAATTGCAGTGCAAAAGTGGCGCTTCAACTTTTGCATATATATAAAATTCATAGTAAAAAGTTGCGTTGCTGAATTTTCTTAGCACAAATTTGCTAAGTGTGCCTGTGCTTCTTGCTTGCACAAATTTAGTATTATCGCTTTATAGCTGCTTGTCTGAAATTTGCAGGCATTTAAATGCATTTTAAGTGTTGCATGATTGATGTTAGCGAGCTAGTGATAGTACAGTTTGAGATAGTAAAAAAATTTAGAAAAGCTGTCTGAAAATCATTTCTGTCTGTCATAAATTTTCATGCCATGCGGCGTAGTATTTTTGTTGCTTTTGTATAGAACTAATATTAATTATGTTATTGTTTGCAATAAATAGAAATTTTCTTTTTGTGGCAACCCAAACTACCTAACTAAATTGGTTTATATTTACAGTTTGAAAGCAGAAATGTATAATTTTTGCGATCTTTAAGCGAATATTGCTTTTCAGTTTCTATATGGCAACTCCATTTGCAATCATTTCCATTAAAAACACTGGTATAATATAATTATTATTTAAAAATCTATTATTTGGGACTCACAATTCGATACGTGAACATGACTAGTGATATTTTGAAAATTTTGGGATATATGCAGACAGTTTTCAATTCATTAATACAATTGAATTCTTTTCGGGTATAAGCTAACAATGATATTTTAATAGTTGGTAACTCTGTTCCCATTATTTTATGTTATGAAATAACATCAAAAAGTCATTTCTAATTTTTGCAGATAATAATAATATTTTCCAATCACATAGCTTTTTACTTAGCAGAATATAAAAATATATATGGCAACACTTTTTTATATATTTTTTATAACAGCAAAAATTACTTATTTTGTATTATGTAATACAAGTTGTTTTCTCTCTAATTTTTTTGATAAGCGGCAACCTTATGAAACTCCAAATTCTAACTTCCAGCCTCAACTATATTTTTGGTGTTAGAATTTTTTAAAACATCGCATGTAAACTTTTTTATTTGCAACTCATCTGAATTGAAACAGTAAAAATATGTCTTATGTCAATATTTGTAAAAACTGTTTTCTCATAGGCATATCAAAAGTCCACATCAAAGAACAATGCAAAATATAACTACCACTACATTTACCAACCAATAGTCGATGCAACAGCAGTAAAGCAACAGCTTCGTCAGTTCATATTGCCTGCAACAGCGATGGCTGAGATTTAAACCGTATTTATCTGCGTCTGCAAATCAGTCTATCTGTCAGTCTGCCATGTAAAAGTGCAACTGATTTACTGTTGTTGTTGGCGCTTTGATGTCAAGCGTCGTTCAACAGTCACCACTTGCCACTTGCCACTCGCCATTTTGCTGACACCACCATTGTTTGTTGCCGGTTGATGTTGAATATACAACTGTCTTGAATGCTATATTTTTCAGCCTCTTGGCTGTTGGAGTTAGCAGTTCATGGCCCATAGAATAAAACGATGTTGATGCTTTAGTTGATGTTTGGAAGGCGCGGTTAGTTTTGCATTTCTCACTGATTAACTGATGGACAGACTGAAAAGTTGATTTTAAAAGCTTGTGGCAGGCATTGGAAGTGGAGTGCTGTATGACTATTTGTGTGTTTATTATAAAGAGTTTCCTAGAATTAACGCAAGATTTAAATTTGCCGCAAAGAATAAACGCTTCGCGGCTTTGAAATTTGTATACAAAATATGATCGATATAGTGTTTTAACTATTTTTTTTAAATTTATTTCTATTTAATAACAATCTTGCGTTAATTTTGGCGTAAATTTAATTTTCATAAAAGCCTAAATGTAGGCAACATATTTTAGATGTTTGTGGCTTTATTGTTGCCTACATTTTGAAGTGCCTTAAATTTTTTGCTTGATTTAAACTGGTTAGAAAAATTTATGCTACTGGATCGGCAAGACAAATCAGAACGATTTTTTTTTAAAATACTCTATGAAAAATTGCAAGATTCTCTATAAAGAAAAATACAAATAAGTTCGAAGAAGTAATGGTTATATAATGTTTTTTTGTTGATTAAAAAGTACAAATATTTTTTTTTGCTAAAAAATTTGACTTTTTTTTGAAAATTTTTAAAGAATTTGTTTATTTTTTTGCATAATTTTTATGAAAAAGTGGCGCAAATCTTTAAAGATCTTACAATATATATAATTATTATATTAATTTTTATTTATAAGACTAATATTTCATTTATAAGATTAAGCGATTCGTAATTATAAAGAAATATTGAAAAAACTAAGAGCACGCGCCTCAGTTTTTTTTAACCCTTCCACAACATTAATAATTTCTTAAGCGATAGATTAGTCGCTAGAATTACAATGCACAACTCTTGTTTTCAAGTTCAAGGCGCTGATTTATAATTTGTATAGAAAGCAACTACAATAATAAACAATTGCATTTATATTTTTATACATTTTGTGATAATACTACAAATCTTAAACGCAAATTGTTGTTTATATGTCACAAGGCCTAGTAAACGCTGTATTTTGTTACTTTTTTTGTTTTATATATTTCTTATCGGCATTAGAGTATATATACTCGTACATACATACTTCTAGTTGGGACTAGTTCTCTAGTTTGATAAATTTTTTAAACAAATTTGACGTCGCATTACGGAATTTCCATTCATGAAATTCGTACTTCGTATTCTTGGAATTTCTCACACTTATCTGCTTATTAAAATATGTTTGTAAACATTCTAAATGCTATTCAGGCTTAGTGCGGGATTTTGGAGTATTTTTTAAATAATTCTTGGAAAAATATTGTTAAGATTGTTGTCAAATTTCGAAAATAAAGAGTGGAATGTTGTTTGAAGTGTCCCGGTATATACTGGGTAAGTCATGGAATTTTTTTTAGTTAGTTTGGGTTTTTGATTTTACTTACTTATGGTTTTTGTCATAATTAAAGACAGATATTTATACAAATTTTCGATATTAATAAACATATATTAATTATTGATATTTGAAACATTCAAAAACATTATAGAATATAATGATTGATACTAGTTTTTAGAAAGGCATCTTTTTTGTTAAGGAACGTACTGCAATTTGCGAAGAAGTCTTTATAATGTTAGAGAAAATTACTTACTTTTAGATAAATTCGATATTTTTTTAACACAAGTGCACTGAAGAGTGATCTTTCTTTTCAGTTCCTTTCCAATTACTTTCCAATGCCTTTTCGATAACATTTTTGTATTAACACTGTCTTCCGCCTTGGTGAGTTCCTTTGAGCGATAATTTTCTTGCGGTCTGTGAAGCGGGAATCTCGCTGAGACCAGATACAGAGAATAAAGTGTAACTGTAAACCATATGAAAGCTCAACTCATAACTTTTCCATCACTCTCATTAATATGCGACACTGTGAATCTGTCAATTACCAACTAACCCATTCAAGATACTGACTTTCAATAGAGCTTTCGACATGCCTGCACGTGCCTTTCATATCTTGAGGACATAAGCTATTTCGATGAGCTTCATTTTTTGATCCGATAAAACTATTTTGTTGATTATTTAATGTTTTCATTCGAAATAGCCACATTTGGATATCCATTTGGTTAATCGTCTGCGCTGCTTGTAGGAGAGTACAGTAAAATTACGAATGTTTGTTTTACCTGAGTCTAAGGTATGTGAAATTTATATAGGTGACTTCTGAAGATTTTATGCGCACAAAATATGTATTTCTCCCGTACACATATACTAAATCTGAATACAAGCAGCTTTTTAGAGAAAATCACGTCAATTCGTTAGAAGGAATTATTAACCTAAAATATTCAATAGCGGTCAAACACTCATGAAGGTCATACGAGCAGTACACACAAAGAGTTCAAAAATATTAAATTATCATAATATAATATAAGAACTCATAAGATCAATTTTTTCTGCTTACTCTCATATCAGAATATACTTTTTTTACGCAAATCAAATGTACTTAAATTTTGTGCATAAAACCCTGCGGTTCCATAAAATTTGCAAAAAAAAAAAAAAACTAATTTCACCAGAAATTAACCTCAAAGTCGTAAATGAGTTCATATCCCTTTAAATTTATATAAAATAAAAAATTATAAAAGATAAACATATTTTCAGAATAAAAAATGTTTCTAAAAAACTATATCACACAAGCAATAAATAAGTAGCGCAAAATCTTATATTTGCAGAGCCAGCACGCTGAAGAAACGCTTATCGGCTGCAGAAAGTATGTCAAGCGCAAGCAATCGCAATTTTTCACACACATTGTGCATTTTTGCAGAATACGAGATACGTTTTTATATAACATTAACGGATTATATAAAACTGAAACGCATTTTTTATAAAACAAGTTTAATCCAGGCACACACACACACAAACGTAAGCAAGTGTTCATCGCTATATACGCGGCATATAGCATGCAACTAGCTGGCAAGTGATAAGCAATTGCGAGCGCAAGTCGCGTGAGCTGGACCTATGCTAATGTGTTTGATACGCACGATCGGTTCGCAATGTGAAGCTACACTTGAAATATGGCAACGCTATCGCACATTTCCGCTCTGACATTCCGGGCATTTTTTAAGCGATTTGTTGTTTTTCAGCGATAAATCCCAGTGGCTGAATGCTGAGCTCCGCTGAGCTATAACACTGTGAGAACATAATTATTTAAATACATAAGTGTAAAAAAAAAAAATTACAAAAAAAAAATGGTATTGCATATCCTCTGCGTGCCTATAAAAGTGCCCGATTGCGCTTGAATTGGCCAGTTTTCGTGCGCCCAGCGCTCGGGTTTGTTACGTCGTTAAGTCTCGCGAGTGAAGTGAAGTTGAAGTGAAAAAGTGGAAGTAGAAAAAATTGTGAAAAATAGTAAAAAGTGTGGAAAAAGGACATGCTCCACACTGAAAGGCAAAAGGATATTGTGTGGATCACTAGATCCTTAAAGGATAATAATTAACTCATTTGTTGAAAATTTGTTTTGTGTACGATCTCATTGTTTTTTGTGCGTTTATATATACATAAGTAATCATATGTGACTTCCGCTGTGTGGTGAATTTTGAGCTAACTGTACTTTGAAAGCAGAAAAGTAGTAAATTAAGCTATTAAAGTGTTTTAAAACTAAAGGATTATGAACTGGAAATGGATTTCGGTTTTGCTGTTGCTGTTGCTGCAGCAATGCAGCCAACGAATTGTCGCAGAGGCTGATGTACAAAGGTGAGTCGGTGAAAAGTGTGAAAAAAAAATTACAATAAAAAATTTGAAAGTTTTTTTAATTTAAGAGACTTGAAAAATAATTATTTGAAATACTAAGATTATAGATATTATGTCAAAAAATATAAAAATTAAATTTAATTAATTATTTTTCGTAATATTAATTTCATAAGCAAAATTTTTAAGTCAGTCTATTATCTAAAAGATCAAGAACTGGGGTTATTTAAAATCAGTTTTATTAATATTTGAGCTTAATTTAAATATTGTACAATGGTAAACAAAAACGTTAACTAGGGTTTCATTGAAGCTATAAGATCCTTTATAAATAAAAATTTTTCCAAACAAGTATGCATTTTAATCGATCAGTTTGTATGGCAGCTATATGCTATAAAGATCAGATCTAAAGAAATCCTTAGGAGATTGTACCACTGCTCTTGAAAATAAACCATGCTAAATTTTGTAAAGATATGAAAAAGTTTTCCATACAGGACTTGCATTTTGATGGTTCAGTTTTTATGGTAGCTATATGCTATAGTAATTCAATCTGAATAAATTCTTTGAAAATTATACCACTGCTTTTGGTAATAATTCGTGCCAAATTTCGTCTAGATATCTTGTCAAATGAAAAAGTTTTCCATCAAGGACTTAATTCCGATCGATATTTCAAAAACCCTGTGTTCAGGGTGTTTTATTTTTATAATAATATATTATATTTTTAGTTTTATATTTATAATATTTATAATAATATATTAAGCTTCCTTTAACACTTCCAGGCAATGTTTCGATTAGGATATATGAGAATCAAATTTTATTGTTGAATCATAACTGATTGTTCAACATGCAACATTGCTTCACACTGGGCTCATCCGCATCTAATTAAGCTCAAGCTTAGCTGTTAATACTGAGCAATAATTGAACGGAACTGAACACATCTCGGTGAAAGCCAAATAACTTTTGCTCATTCACTAACGTATTTGGATAAAAAAATATTTAGAGTTTCTGTTTTTGAAATTCTTTAAAATATTGTATGAAATAAAAAATTATAAGATTTCTCGAATTGGAAATTCCACAAAAGGACCTTCGTATTAATCCGACGATTTCGTTGTTAAAATGTATTGTATATCATCTACTATTCTTACATTTTTTTTTTGTTAAAAGATGTACTGTTCAAGTTTTCCCATTTTAAACTTTGAAATCTTATCACTATCAATGCGTCAAGGCTATTATATGGCCAATATCGGCCCGTAGATACGATTTCTTATGGTGTTATGACTATGGCGCTTGCTATTGGCATACATTTTTGGCAGTTTAGTTGGCTTACAATATTGTACATGTATAGATTTCCCGTGGGACCATAATCACTAGTTTAGATACTAATTTCTTACTGTGGCCGTCTAACGGTATTTTATATAAGAGATTTTCTATTTTGTATTTTATTTATTATTTTATTTATTTTTTACTTATTTATAGATAGTATTTAAATTAGTTGAAATATATCAAAGTACGCTTGTCAAACTTGCTGAAGTTAAGCGTCTAAACTCTTTTTTCCTTTCTATAGTCCTATCAGTGCCGAGAATGAGAATCTAGCTGTTGATAACGATCGTGAAGAACGCGACTTGTTTGGATTTTTTAAGAAAGCACCCGCGGCTGAGCCGCTGCCGTCTTCTAGGTAAGTTAAGTAAAAAATTGTAATAACAGTAATTATTTTCAAAAGTTGCAAAACCAATGTGGCTTTGGCAAAAACAATTCTTTCTTGTATAATATGAGTATATAGAACAATAAAACGCAAAGAGGCGTTTTACTAATACACATGTATGGTTTATGTTTGTGCTTGTGTTATCAAGTTAAAACGGAAATTGTTAAAAAGAGAACGCTGACAAGCGCAACTAATTTTATTTGCAATCTTCTAATTTCAGCCTGAACTTAGGTGTTGGCACTGTGTTTGGCGGTGGTGGGTAAGTGTTTGCCGCAACGTTATTTTTATTAGATTTCTTTTTTGCTCATATTTTGATTTTACTTATTGATATTATATAATTTTTTGTCTCCTTATTAAATAATTATTCAACAGTGCTTATGGCGTCAAAACAAGTTACTCTGGTTATGGTCACAATCATGGTAGAGGTGGCGGTGGTTATGGTGGTGGAGGTTATAGTGGCTATGGCGCTGGATATAGTGCTTATGGCAGTAGTGGACAGCCCTATAAAGGTGGTTACGGATCCGGCAGGTATGTTGTTTTTTTAAAACATGGTGCAAGTGGTTTGGTTCTTTAGTTTTATCAAAGTTAAGCTTAATTAGTTTTCAAACTCGCTTAGATATGATAGCTGTTTTCAGATATTTGAACAAAGTAACATGAAGACATTACTCGAATATAACAATTTTGTACCCAAATTTTGTATATATGTATCGCAACTTCTCTTCATTTATCTCCTTTAACATTTGTTTTCAATGTTGTAACAGCCTTGGCGCACAGTCCAGCTATGATTTCTTAACGCACGAAAACCCTCAAATTCCCTCTTATGGCGATTGCCCAGCATACCAGTTGCCATCGAAAATGTCACTGAAATGTCGCGGCAATCAATGTGAGGTCAGCTGTATGGCTGAATATAGATACCCTGATGGCGCGAGCACGCTGAAGTTGGCTTGCATAAATGGCGATTGGATAATACGCGACTCAGCGTTTACCAGTGTGCCACCCTGTCAAGGTAAGTAATTCAGTAGGAAGTTGAGCTTAAATCCCAAATGAAAGTTTTCTTCTTACCTTTTCATCTGTGCCTCCTTAGCTACTTGTACACCACCTTGTGACAATAACGGTATTTGTATCGAAGCTGGCGTTTGCAAATGTGCTGAGAACTTCTATGGCCCTAGGTGTCGAAATAAGAAGACCTTTTGCAGCGGTAAGCCACCGATACCGAAAAATTCGCGAGTTCAATGTAGAAATAAGTGAGTACCTTAGTATCACACTAAATTCTAAATATGCTGAGTAATCTGTTTTGTTTTTGGTTAGCGTCTGCAATGCTGAATGCATGAGCGGCTTTCAATATCCTGATGGCAGTTCCATAGCGAATCTCGAATGCGTGGATGGCGTTTGGTTTCATAAGCAGACAAACTCGGTAAAGCCACCGGATTGTGCGCGTAAGTATTATTAAAAGCAACATCATATATTACTGTAACAAAAAATATGCTCTGCTTATTATGATCTCTTTCTCTCTCTCAGCGATTTGTGAGCCCGCCTGTCAGAATGGTGGCAAATGCATTTCATTTAATATGTGTCAGTGTACACAGCAATATCGCGGCGACTACTGCCAATACAGTAAGTATGTAATTGTTAATGATGTAGGTAACCCTATGTAGTGGTACTGTTATATCTACAGATGTTTATGTAAAAATGTTTGCACGGGAACCCACACACCTTACTAGTGCGGTTCGATATTTTTAGTGCAAAGTTTAAAAAGAAAAATGTTTAAAATTATATTTGTTGGGTTGCCACATAAATTAAAAGCTGCATAAATATAATAAAACATTGTTGTCTCTAACAGAAGTGATAAAAAAGAAATTTTTTTTAAAATATTTTTTTGAGAGTTGCCACTTGACCAAATATTTATTTATGTAAATTGAACGAAAATATGAAATACTAGAATTTCAAAAAAATGCTATCCAAGGCATATTTCCGCAACATTTCTTTCAAAAATATAATTTTTAGCGTTGCCACGTAATTTTATATACAATTCAAAACGAAATCAAAAAGCTTTTCTACAAAAATATTATTTTAAATAGTTGCCAAGCGACTACAAGTACTTCTTTTATTAATTTATACTAAAAACTTATTTTTCTATTTCGCTCTCCACTTAAGGCGTGCAAGCTTGTAATGTAACCAATACTGGCTTCAACGGCAATTACAAATGTAAATACGATGGTTTGGAGGCTAAGTGCAAATTTTCCTGTGCGTCATCACCGGGCACAACGGTACATGGCAACCTAAATATTGAGTATACATGCAAATATAGTGTGGGCGATTTCTATCCTAAACCATTGCCCAAGTGTATATATGGTAAGTTGATTTACAAACATTTTTTTCTTTACTAAAACAATTTAATTTCTGGTGAAATCCAAAAAATGAAATCTCTTTAATTATTTTCGCAAATTTTTTATTTATTTATTTTTATCACGCAGCACCTGGCTACACAGTCCGTAAGGGCTCTACGACTTATTGGAATCGAACTTCTGATGGTGGCGCTGGTGGCGGTAGGCTAGTATATGGTCACGGCGAGCAATGGGTTACTGACCGTGAGCGTATTCAAGCCATAATCGATAAACTTTCGAATGTTCACAGCGTAATGTCAATTGAAAATTATTTTCTATTTGCTAAAGTTGTAATTTTTATTTATTTCTGCTTTACAGGAGTGGTGGTCCTCTGAGGAGAGACAAGTTTCATCGACGCGCTACACACTCTACACGGAAGGCGATGTCGATGTGATGATCGATCGTACGCCCAAGCCGGCATTGTGTACCACTTGGGGTGGCATTAATATGAAAACATTCGATGGTTTGGTTTTCAAGTAAGTAACGGCATTCTTAGAGGCATATCACTGGCCTTAAATGTTAAATTATTGGATAATCAGCTCAAAGAAAACTTAGAGCTTTGTAACGCCCAGTAGTAACTCCTACATTTTTTTCAGAGCCCCTCTTTCGTGTTCGCATACTTTAATTAATGATAAAGTCGATGCCACATTCGATATAATACTTAATGCTTGCCCATATGGCTCCGGTTATGGCTGTGCGCATGCGCTGACGATCTACTGGCAATCCATACCATACACGCTAGATAATATAAGTAAGTTACGGTTATAATTTATATATATTATTCTTAACCGCCAAATTAATATACCGTCTAACACATTTTACACAGATGGCACTGTACATCTATCCACGCCAACGAAGAAGTTTCCCATACCAGTACAGGTAATGGGCATGAAAATAATACCGGTGGCTGAGCATTTGCAAATTCAATTGGAGTCCGTTGGACTACAAATCGACTGGGATCGTCATCAATATCTCGGCATACATGCCGGCCCGTTGTTGTGGTCCAAAGTTGGCGGCTTATGTGGCACCTTAGATGGTGACTATATGAACGACTTAATGTCGAAAGGTGGCGTAGTCGTGGAGACGGTTAAGTCTTTCACCGACTCATGGCGCGTTGAAGATAGCTCGGATTTGTGTGTAATGGAGAATAGTCGTGAATTGGAATTCGGTTCAGAGACTTGTGAAGCGACGAAACGTGCGAAGGCTATTAACATCTGTACTCGTCTTTTGTCGAATGATAAATTAGAAGACTGCATAAAAGGCATCAACTTTGAGGCTTTGCTGCGTGCATGCGTGGATGATTATTGCAATTGTGCGAATCGGGAACGACCAGAGTCTTGCAACTGCGACGGCGTCTCCATGTTGGCTAAGGAGTGCGCATTCAAGGGTATAAAATTGGAGCATGGTTGGCGTAATTTGGAGATTTGTCGTAAGTGGACGATATACATATATGTTCCTAATTACTAAAGTATTGAATTTCAGCTGTAAGCTGTAGCTATGGACGTGTCTATCTGCCTTGCGGTCCGGATGTAGAGCCCACTTGTGATATGGCAGTGACACCAAACCCAGCAAAATGCAATGAAGGTTGCTTCTGTCCCGCCGGTACGGTGCAGTATCAAGATGCTTGCATTGCACAGGAGTTGTGTCCATGTACCATGCGTGGTAAGGAGTTCAAAGCGGAAGCGGTCATAAAGAAGAAATGTAACACATGGTAAGCCGTCTTAAATATGCTGCCAATCTTAGTGGGTCTGTACTAGAAATAATTTTATTCGCCAGCACCTGCAAAAGCGGCAAGTGGAAATGCACGGATGAACAATGTGGTGCGCGTTGTGGCGCAATAGGTGATCCGCATTACCAAACTTTCGATGGTAAACGCTTCGACTTTATGGGTCAGTGCTCATATTATCTGTTGAAGACCGCTAAACTATCGATAGAGGCGGAGAATGTGGCTTGTTCTGGTTCAATTTCTGAAAATCTCAATTTGGTAGCTGCTGCGGACAATCCATCTTGTACCAAGTCGGTGACGCTACGTTTTGCGCTCAAAAATGGCGTACAGAATACTGTGCGCTTGAATCAGGGCATGGCTGTGCATGTTAATGAGAAGGAAATTACGAAATTCCCGAAAATTCTGGGCGCTGGTGAAGTGCTCATACGTTTGGCTAGCTCAAGTTTCATGACTGTTGAGTTCCCTGACGGCATACGTGTTTGGTGGGATGGTATCTCACGCGTCTACATCGATGCGCCGCCCAGTTATCGCAATAAGACCGCCGGTCTCTGTGGTACATTTAACACGAATACACAAGATGATTTCTTAACACCGGAGGGTGATATTGAAACGGCGGTGGAGCCATTCGCCGACAAGTGGCGTACCAAAGATACTTGCGATTCCCCAACTGAGACAGTACCTGGTCCACATCCATGCAGCGCTAATCCAGAAAAGCGTGAAAATGCCGAAAAGCACTGCAACTGGATTATGGATGAAATATTCCAAGACTGCCATTGGACCGTCGAACCGGAGCAATATTATGAGGATTGCTTGTATGATGTGTGTGCATGTAAAGACGAGCCGGATAAGTGTTTCTGTCCTATTTTGGCTGCTTACGGCAACGAATGCGCACGTCAAGGTATCAAAACTGGCTGGCGCATGGCGGTGAAAGAGTGCGGTGAGTAATTAGTTGTGTTAACCAAACTTGAATTCAACATACGAAATTTGTAATTTATTACAGCTGTGAAGTGCCCAATGGGTCAAATATACGATGAGTGTGGCGATACATGTGCGCGCACCTGCGGTGATTTGGCTACCAAAAATGCATGCAAGACCGAATGTGTAGAAGGCTGTCGTTGTCCGCATGGTGAATACTTGAATGAAAATAACGAATGCGTGCCGCAACACAAGTGTCCATGCACTTACGATGGTATGACCTTCAAATCTGGTTATAAGGAAGTGCGACCTGGTGCAAAGTTTCCCGATTTATGGTAAAATTTAAGCACACTTGGCTTTTCTTGCTTATTGACAAACATTTTCGTTTTCTGCAGCACATGCACTAATGGTCTTTGGGAATGTGAGGATGCTGGTCCCGACGATGAGAAGAAATATCCACCTTCATCCCAAATACGTGCTGAATGCGTGAATCGTCCATTCGCTGAATTCTCAAAGTGTGCGCCCACTGAGCCGAAGACCTGTAAGAATATGCATGATTATGTGAAGAATATCGAGGATTGTGTACCCGGTTGTGTCTGCATGTCGGGTTATGTCAATGATACTTCCCGTAAAGAATGTGTGCTGCCAGAGCTTTGTTCCTGCCATCATGGTGGTAAAAGTTACGCGGATGGTGACAAGATCAAGGAGGATTGCAACCAATGGTAACTTTTGTTATAGATGTTGTTGCCTTTTGTCGCCTTCATTGTTTTTGTATTTTTTTAGTGTTTGTAAGAGCGGTAACTGGACGTGCTCCACGAATGGTTGTGGCTCAACCTGCTCCGTCTGGGGTGATTCACATTTCTCCACTTATGATAATCACGACTTTGACTTCCAAGGTGCCTGCGATTATATACTCTCCAAAGGTGTGGCGGAGAATGGCGATGGTTTCACGATAACCATACAAAATGTATTGTGTGGCACCATGGGCGTTACTTGCTCAAAGTCGGTAGAAATTTCACTATCGGGCAGTGTACAGGATTCTCTTACGCTGAACTCAGACGCCTCTTACATAACCGACCCGAACAAATCGCCGATTAAGAGTAAGTAGCAAAATATTCAAACAATTTTTTCTATTAGTAATGTTGATTCAGGAAAGACCATATGAGATTTAAAATATTTATTACAAAATATTATTTAGAATAAGGTGATACCATTTCTAAAGTACTTGAAACTGAAAAACTTTAATTATATAAAAAAACTCACCACTTAAGGTTTATTAGAACTGTGGATATGGGGATCCAAAAGCAGACTTAACTGAAAAGAGAAAAGATACTTTTTTTCGTAGATAGAGAATGTCTAGTTGATAGGGGTTCGCCAGTAAGGCCTTTGTTGGTGGCGACATCTTTTTGTGGAGTATGAGACAAATTACCAAATTACTTCCAGCCGATAGCTGTGAAGTCAGGAATGTTACTTTATCAAAGTTCCGTCTAATTCCATGTTAGAGTTAAAATATATGTAAAAAAACGATATTTTTAGTAGACCTACACTTGTCATTCTTTAAATGGTTTAAATTTTAAACTCATCAACTTTCAGAAATTCGCGATGCAAGCAACACCAAGGGGCATGGCGCCTTCCACATCTACAAGGCCGGTGTATTTATTGTGGTCGAAGTAATACCGCTCAAATTGCAAGTGAAATGGGATGAAGGTACACGCGTTTACGTGAAACTCGGTAACGAATGGAAGAACAAAGTGAAAGGATTGTGCGGCAATTACAATGACAATGCTGTGGATGACATGCAAACGCCATCGCAAGGTATCGAAACCAGTCCGCTCATCTTCGGACACGCATGGAAGGTGCAACAATTCTGTGCCAAGCCAACGACACCCATAGATGCGTGCAAAGAGCATCCGGAACGTGAGACGTGGGCACAGCTCAAGTGTGGCGTGCTCAAATCGGAAATATTTAAGGTAAGAATGCCGGCTATTGTATGTAAGTAAGTATAGTAGACGGCAGATAATTAAAATTCCAATACGCATTGCCATACTAATACTTAAGTACGCTGTTCTCCACTTAACTTTCCACCTGCCGCAATCTCACTTACCCTCCCTCTCTATCACTCTCTTCTGTTTCACAGGATTGCCACGCTGAAGTGTCTGTCGAGAAGTACCTGAAACGTTGCATATACGATACGTGCGCTTGCGATCAGGGCGGTGATTGTGAGTGTCTGTGCACAGCGGTGGCTGCCTATGCACATTCCTGCTCCCAACATGGCATCAATATACGTTGGCGTACGCCGCACTTCTGTCGTAAGTACTGCAAATACATATAAACCGTGTGTATGACATATGCGTGAGTATGTAAGTAAGGTAGTTGCTGAAGGGTCACTGTAAGCTTGCAAGGTTTTGTGAGTGTGTGTGGAGCTCGGCGTGAATGCAGTAGCTGAAAATCATTGTCTTTTCAATTATTCATTAGTGCAAATCGTCACATGCAACGTCGACGACAATGCAAGTGGCAAGCAAGTGGTAGATGCCTTGCACATACTCACATATGCATGCAAAATAATATGTAGGAACAAGCGCTTAATGCTTCGATTGCCGCGCAAGAGTGGCATAACTATGCTTCGAGATGCACGTATTTACATATATATATATATATATATTATGTATGTTCTTTTGTTCCATTATACTTATGCCCAAGTAGACTTGTCGATTAGCCGTAATTGATACTTGAAAATTATTCATTGTGCTTTTAAATTTGGCCTATACAGCTAAACTCACCATGCAACGAGCTTTGCTCAGAAGCCGCGAACATATTTTACCAGTTAGTGATTGTGCGGAAAATCCATTTTTAGGGCCGCAAGCCATTATTCACACTTGACAGAAGTTTTAAGATTCAACTTTATTACATTGACGAAAGTACTAAAAGCTTCCTAGGTACGAACAGAGCGCAAAAGCAAAGTATGTGGTCAACCATTTGTATGCCTAAGCTGCCTCTTTCCGACATGTTTTTCGAAGATTCTTTTGTATAGCTATATCCTAGAGTTTAAGCAGTTTATATGCATATTTAGTATCCTACTCACGTACGATTCAGTTCGCGAAAGATATCCGAACTCTTTCAGTCGATACCTGGAGATACATACACTATAGGCATTGCGGATTCTTTTAGCGACAACCACATGATTTAACTCATACCGACATTAAGGAATACTTTGGGGATATTGTGGTCTAACACTACGGCTTCAATATGCTTGATTTCCTCAAACATTTTCCAGAACAAGTTTAAGGAAAAAATTAACTCTAGTTCGCATATCCGATGATAGACTTACGTTTATAACAAATAGCTTTAAAGAGTGCTGCTGAGGTGTGAGGTCTTTTCTCAATAAACTCCGAATACCTTTTGGTCAGCGCACGTATTTAAGTAGTGAATTTATAAAGTTTTCAGTGTAAGTGCCTTCTGATAGATTTTCTTGCTTCCACTGATATAAATGTGGATCGATAGCGCAAAAATCTTGTAGAATCGGAACTGAAAACTGAACCGTCTGATGGTTTGCAGACGATCCTGTACCGAATCGATGCACTCATCTACCATAAAAACAGCGAAGAAATGGGTTTCCCTCCTAGGTTTAACTTGACAGATATAAATAGAAAACCCCTAGCCAGCATGTGAGCTCAAAGCAATTCCTGTTATGGAGGGATAAAGACATCAGTTTATCAGAATTTATAGACATCCAAATAGCGGTATTATAACCCTACTTCTGTTTTTTTTACTATTTATCAGCAATGCAATGCGATCCACATTGCGCCGAATACAAAGCGTGTACACCTGCGTGTGCTGTCGAAACTTGCGACAATTTCCTCGACCAAGGCATGACGGAGCGCATGTGCAATCAAGAGAACTGTATTGAGGGTTGTTTCATAAAGCCCTGTGACGAGGGTATGATCTATCTAAACGACACCTACAAGGAATGTGTACCGAAGGCTGACTGCAAGCCAGTTTGTATGATACGCGATGGCAAAACTTATTACGAAGGTGATGTAACGTATACCGACGATTGCGCCACCTGTCGTTGCTCGAAAAAGAAAGAAGTTTGCAGTGGCGTTAAATGCAAGGAACCGCTAACAACAACGGAGCGCCCAAGTAATAGTGTGCTGGATAGCACGACACCACATGCCTATGGCACCGATACGCAACCGCAGTGTGTACGCGGTTGGACACATTGGTTCGATAATGACGGCGATGCGACGGGCAAAATAGTACGCTTGAATGATGAGGAGAAGCTGCCACGTTACAATCGCATCGAAAGCATTTATGGCACATGTCAGAAGAAATATATGAAGAAGATTGAATGTCGTGTTGTGGATACACACGAATCACCTAACTATATGGATGAAAATGTGAGCTGTAGCTTGGCTGACGGACTCGTTTGTAAAGGACAATGTCACGATTATGAATTACGTGTGTTCTGTGAGTGCGACGAAGCAGCGGTCACGATACCACCGCCAACTGAAAAACCGCAAGTCGGTTTGCCATGCGACTCTGTGATAGCCGAATATAAAGAATATCCGGGCGATTGTCATAAATTCTTGCACTGTCAACCGACGACCAACGGCAATGGTTGGACTTATGTGGAGAAGACTTGCGGTGAATACATGATGTTCAATCCAACGTTGAACGTGTGCGATCACATAGCTACTGTACGAGAGATCAAACCAAGCTGTGGTAATGTTCCTACGGAGCCAGTAACATTGAGTGAATGCGCCGAAGATCAAGTGATGGTAGAATGCGCAAATCAATGTGAATTTACTTGCGATTACTATGGTTCGGTGAGTAGACGATTGAGTATGTGTAAAGAAGACTAAGTGCAATTTATGCTGGAATTTTTAAACGATTTATGCTAACCTTTCTAGATACTGCGCAAGCGTGGTCTCTGCCAGAAAGGAGAACACTGCAAACGTGGCTGCGTTGATAAGAACCGACCCGATTGCTTCTCTGTGGGCAAGTTCTGGCGCGATGAAAATACTTGCGTAGAAATGGATGAATGTCCTTGTATGGACAAGTCGGAGAAATACGTACAGCCACATATGCTAGTGACCGGTGAGGAGGAAGTGTGTCAGTGTATTGATAATGCTTTTACTTGCATACCGAATGAAGTGCCGGAATTGCGTAAGTTTTCACTGTGGCATGCTTTGCTTTGTGATTACTTTGCTTAGCTTTAACAAAACTATATTTTTAATACTCTCCTTTAAAAAAATAGCATATATTTTGGTCACAACTCCCGCCGAGGACGAGCATGAACCAGACTTTCTGCCATCCACAATCGTACCACATCTGAATTGCGAACCAGAACGGTTGGTTTGTGTGTAGATATTATGAAAGTGCTTACTCTAAAAGAAATCTTTACACTTTTAGCTTAATACCGCTGATACAAGGCGATCTACCATTGCCGGACAGCGCCTTCAATGCGAGCTCTACACTTAATGCCTACAATGCGCCCTTCATGGCACGCCTTCCCGCCAACCCCAAAAATAGTGTAGGCAGTTGGTCGCCCGGTATCGATGATCAGATGCAATATCTACAAATAAGCTTTCCGGAACCGGAACCCATCTTTGGAGTTGTTATGGCTGGCAGTCCAGATTTTGATAAATACGTTACACTCTTTAAGGTAACTTCAAATGATTTTTGTTTCCACTCAGCTGGTTTTAATTCGTACACATTCGCAGATACTCTACAGTCCCGATGGTGAATCTTATCATTATTTAGTCGAGGAGAATGACATACCACAAAAGTTTAACGGTCCACTCGATTCACGTAAGCCACATAAAACACTCTTCCACACACCTGTCGAGGCGAAATCCGTACGTATATATCCCATGAAATGGTATCGTCATATTGCTATGCGTGTGGAACTCTTGGGTTGTGGTGAACCGCTCACAACAACAACTTCGACTACTACGCCTGAGCCGAAGTTTGAGAAACTCATACAAACGACGACAACGAGACCGATTAATTGGCAAAACGCCGGAAAGTGTGTGGACCGTATGGGTGTGGATAATGGTAAAATGCATTCCACACAAGTGAAGGCTAGTAGCATTTGGTTATTACCACAACCGGCTAAGAAGCCACGTCTCATAGATCTACTGAAACTTTCCTCACCGGTTGGCTGGCGCCCCGTGGCCAATACGCCGAATGAATATGTGCAATTCGACTTTTTGGCACCACGCAACATTTCTGGTTTTATCACTAAAGGTGGCCCATCTGGCTGGGTTACTAGCTTTAAGGTTATGTTCTCGAAGAATAAATTGATTTGGAATAAGGTGCTATTCTTTGATGGCCAACCCGAACAATTCCGTGGAAACTATGACGAAAATAGTGAGGTATTAAATACGTTCCGTTCACCCATATTGACGCAATACTTCAAGATAGTGCCTTCGAAGTGGGAAGAGAATATAAATATGCGCATAGAACCAGTGGGTTGCTTCGAAACTTATTGTAAGTGAAACGCTGAGGCAACATAAAACAAAATATTCTATAACATTACATATATCATTCACAGTGGAAGTTAAGGAAGAGGAGCCCGAGCTCGATCGGCCGCCACCAAAATGTCAAGTTTGTGACGGCATTCTAGATACGACAGCGAATAGTGGAGAGTGTAAATGCACAAACGGTCTATTCTGGGACGGTCAAAACTGTGTTCAGAGTAATTTGTGCCCGTGCATTGATGAATATAGCACGTAGGTGTAGATAGTGCATTAATCAACGCTGCAATAATTAATTTTGATTAATATCACTTTATTTCCGCGTATAGTTATCCCATCGGCTCTAAGTTTGAGAATAAGCAGTGTGAAGAATGTGTTTGCGTCTTGGGTGGTCATTCCAATTGCAAGCCCAAAAAGTGTCCACCATGCGTGGAAACCAATCTGCGTTCTTTAGTTACACCGGATTGCTTCTGCAAATGTGAGCCCTGTCCGAAATACCAACGCATTTGTCCGTCAAGCGGCGACTGCATTCCGGAATTATTGTGGTGTAATGGTGTGCAAGATTGTGCTGATGATGAAGATGAGTCATGCAAGAAGACAATAGTGGTGACGCCTCAACCAATTATAAGTACGAATGAAAGTAAGTACCATTTTTGTGGGAGTAAAAATAGTTTAATGATGAATGATCTTAAAAATTCTGAGAGTTTCTTTGTAAGAATTAGGTTAAGAATAGGTTTTTTATATATAATATGAATAATATTTTTTTAACCTAAAATGCAAACCAAATGTGATTCTTAAATCACCACAGCCATTATCATCAAATGCCCCGAACCAGAATGTCCACCTGATATGAGAATTAAGCTTACGGAGAAGAAACAACGCAAAATGTCACAGATGTTCGCTAGAGCGTAAGTATTAACTATTAATTATAGATATATATATTTATATATTTATATATCTATCCCTGTCTCTCTTGCTCAGTTACACCGATATGGAAGAGTTCGGTAATATGATCAAAATTACCAAGACCAAAGTGTTGGTAAGCGAAAGTGAAGAATTCCTTATGCTGCCGTCGGGAGAAGTGAGCGGTGTAGAGGAAGAAGAGTGCGCTGAATTCACTTGTGTACCGATACCTAAAAAAGAGGTACTGAAGAATGCGACTGTCACTTGTGTGGAACCCAAATGTCCAGAAAACTATGAAATTGAATTGGATATGTCTAATGCGAAACCGGGACAATGCCGCAAATATGCGTGCGTACTCAAGCCGACAAAAGATGACTCATGCGAGATTAGTGGTAAATTTTTCACCACATTCGACGGCACTGAGTTCAAGTACGACACTTGCAGTCATATATTGGCGCGTGATATCAAGAACTCGAACTGGGTGATAACTGGTAAGTGGTTTTTATCGAAGCTCATGATTTTCAATGATCGCGTGTTAAGTTACTCGTATATCTGTATAATGTGGAGACCTTCGACTTAGGATTCGGCAATACAGCTCTACATTTTAAGTTTGGCGTAGTATATAAGAAACAAATATGCCGATGTGCTAAGGCAGCACACGTGAAGCTCAGCGCTTTGTTTCAATTAGAATAGAAATTAACGAGCTTAAATATTACTTTCAGTACATATACTCTGCGAAGATGAGGCGCGTCGCGTTTGTCATAAATCTATCACCATCAAGGACATCGAGTCGGCGGCCATATTGACGATCATGCCGAATATGAAATTAAATTTCAATGGTTTCGAATACACCGTACCGCAACTGATGAACTCACCCATCTGCAAGGCGGCCTTCGTTATCTCGCAGCCGGGCCAAACGGTATTGGTGGTATCGCGCAAACATGGCTATTGGGTGCTTTATGATGATATTGGTTACGTTAAGATCGGCATATCCTCTAAGTATTTACGCACCGTGGACGGCCTCTGCGGCTACTATGATGGCATTGCGGGCAATGATAAACGCACGCCGGATGGCACTTTGATACAGAACACAGGCAAGTTCGGTGACAGCTGGTTCGACAAGAAGATACCGAAGGAGATGTGCTACCCACAAACGTGTCCATTCGAGTTGCAAAAGAAGGCGTTGGCATTGTGCAATGCGATTAAGTAAGTTTTGGTGTGCTTGTGTTTGTGAGCGGTGTCTAAACACGTCGAGTGTCTGGGTAGTTGTTCTGAGCATATTATTTGCAGTTATGTATGTATATATGCCCATAGTGATTGTACATTTGGGTTTTGGGTGCGCAAAGTTCGCATTTTGTGTAATGACATGAAATTTTGTTTCAACTCCGCCAGGCATCCGGTGTTCGTTAAGTGCAACAAGGCGGTCAACTACAAACAGTTCGTCAGCAAATGCATGGAGAGCACTTGTGAGTGCCTACGGGCACATCCGGGCGAGGACAACACTTGCAAATGTAATGCATTACAGGACTTTGTTGCCAAGTGTTTGACAATCAATCCCAATATACAATTGAATTTGTGGCGTGCGGTGCAGCAATGTGGTGAGTAGTTGTTAATCAAGTGAGGTGTTTAAAAGATTTTTGTTTTAAGCAAAATAAATGAATTTATATATTTATTTACCTTTTTCAATAGAACTTGAGTGTCCTGCTCCACTTATTCACTCCGACTGCTATAAGCGGCGCTGTGAGCCATCGTGCGACACGCTAAACACCGACGATTGTCCGATTATACCAGATGCCTGTTTCCCCGGCTGTTACTGTCCCGAAGGCACTGTGCGTCAGGGCAAAAAGTGCATAACGGTTGCGGAATGCAAAGATTGTGAGTGCAATTCCTTCGGAAAATCGCAGTTCTTCACTTATGATAAGCGCGATTTCCATTTCAACGGCAACTGTACATATTTGCTCTCGCGCGATATAGTCTTACCGGGACAATACAGCTTCCAAGTGCGTGTTTTTGTTGTTGCTACACTAACTATATTCCTTCATTAACTTTATTACTCACTCTTAAAGCTTTACGTAACAATGGACTACTGCAAGCGTTTGGGTTATGCTTCGAATTCAACTGAAGAATCATGCATTAAATCTTTCCATGTCTTCAATGGTGATCATCTCATACACATTGAACGTCCGCGGGTTGGTAAGGTGCCACGGATACTGGTTGATGGCGCTGAGAAAAATGTGCCGTTCAAAAATTCTTGGGTCAATATACGCGAAGTTAACGGAAAAGAGCTTCTGCTGTCACTTTTGGAAAGCCACGTGGACTTACGTGTCTCATATGACGATATGGTCTATACGGTAACTTTTGAAATGAAATGTTTCCTTGTTCTTTATATACGCTAATACTAAAATTTTGATAACCTTTTACAGCTTTCGGTGCCCAGCATCAAGTATAGCGGCAAGATGGAGGGTCTATGCGGCGATTGCGATAATAATCCTAAAAACGATCTACTAGAGAACCCCGCCAAAAAGAAGGCACCCACACCCAACAAAGAACTAGCAGTCGTGCTGCAAAGCTGGAAGGCTGAGGAACCGAAGTTGGGTAATGAACTGCAAATTTGCTCTAGTGAAATTATAACAGAGAATGAATGTGAGCCACCACCGCCGGAGAAAGATGTCTGCCTGATGTTGTATAATCAGGAGCTCTTCGGACAGTGCAACATGATCATTGATCCTGGAAATTATGTGGCATTGTGCCAAAAAGAAATGTGTAAGCCCGGCAGTCATCAGCAAAGTACTTGTAACTTGATGGCCGCTTACGCGCACCAGTGTGCACAACAGGGTATATGCTTGTATTGGCGTCGTCCGGAATTGTGTCCTCTCGATTGCCCTAGCGATATGGTATATGAATCATGTGGTTGCGCTAAGACCTGTGATACAATCAAGGCGTTGCATGAATATGATGCCGTCAATATGAAGACCGATACGTTTGTCAAGACAGTGGAATCAAATGATATGTGCCTGGCAGAGGAACGATTTGAAGGCTGTTTCTGTCCACCCGGTAAGGTTATGGAATATGGCGAATGTGTTGCGGAAGAGTCGTGTGTAAAATGCGATGATTTGGTGCACGTACCAGGCGATAAGTGGAAGAAGGACAAATGCACCGATTGTAATTGTAATATGGAAGGAAAGGTCGAGTGTGTGGAACAGAAGTGCCTAATAGAAGAGAATATTTGTGCGGAAGGCTTTATACCGAAGAAGATCGAATCCGCTGACATGTGTTGCCCACTTTACAGATGTGTGCCGGAACAAAAGTCACCGCCACCAATTGCATGTCTCGAACCTTTAATGCCTGTATGTGGTCCCGGACAGTTTAAGAAGCAGAAAACCGGACCAGATGGTTGTCCGCAGTTCATTTGCGGTAAGTGTTGAGATAAATAAAATTATATAAGTAGCTGAATTATTTGTATATAAAATACAGAGTGCAAGCCGAAGGAGGAGTGCGAACCCTTAGAATTGCCACGCGCACTCAAACCTGGTGAAAAGGTTGTGTCGGAAGATCTGGGCTGTTGTCCGACTCAAGAGATTGTCTGCGACGTCAGCACCTGTCCGCCTGTGTTAAAGGAATGCGCCGAACGCTTCTATGAAGTTATTAGGAAACAGGAACTAGATGATTGCTGTCCACACTACGTCTGTGGTAAGTATATGCGTAATATGCTCGTATCAAAATATATTTATGACTAATGTATTTCACACAAACAGAACCACCGAAGGATATGTGCATAGTACAAAATGGACTGGGTGAGAAGTTTATTAAACCGCTGAACGCCAAATGGCCACATCCCACAGATCCTTGTAAGCAGGAGACGTGCGCTTATGGTCCGAATGGCAGCACATTAGTCGTACCAACGACTGAGACTTGTGATACCTACTGTCCACCTGGCTTTAAATATGAGAATAAGCAGCCTGAACTCAAATGTTGTGGTGAATGTGTGCAAGAGAAATGTGTGTTGGGTAACGAACTGTACGAAGAGGGCGCTACCTGGACGAGCGCGGACAATTGCACAACTTACACTTGTTTGCGTAAAGGAGAGGTCCTGATAGTTTCATCTTCACAAGAGACTTGCCCAGATGTGACCTCTTGTCCAAATCACTTGTTGGTACCCTCCGAAAGTGGCTGCTGCGAGGTGTGCAAGCCGGAGCTGATTGTGGAGAACCAAAGTGAGTTGCTTGAAGGGATTTGGATACAATTCGACCTTTTTATTATTTGCTACTTTTCATGTTTACAGAGAATTGTTTGCCGGTTTCGTTGGCTGAACCAATGACTCTGGAGATTATCGAAATTGTTCAGCCTGGTATGGGTAAATGCATAAATAAGGAAGCTATACAAGGATTCACAGATTGCGACGGTGCCTGCCCTTCCGGTTCAAAATATAGCAAAGGTTAGTATGTGTTTCTTTATAGTGAAGGACGTATTATTGATTGAAACTTGTGATATTTACAGAATCAGGCACCCATGAGAAGCATTGCCGTTGTTGTAGCATAACAGGCTGGAAATCAGTTGCGGTGCCGCTGATTTGTGAGAATGGAAGCAAGATCGTGAAGAAGGTATGTAATAGACTATACAGAGCAGTAAGAAGTCAAGATGTTGGTTGACACTGGGTTTGAGTTTGGACAAAGAGTGAAATTAAGTTTAGGATTAGGACTGCAACTAAAGTTTGAGACTGATGCTGAGGTTGAGACTAGAAGCGTTTCATAACAAACTGAGTTTGAGATTGAGATGAATGCTGAGACAAAGTTTTAGACAAAGACTGATAGATACTGATATTTAGGTCAAGACTACAAGTGGAACTGTAGCTCAGAATTAGCTTGGTGTTGTGAGCTCGAGCTCGGTTGAGCGTTATGCTGATAATGCAAAATTTTATTTTCGTTGTTTTAGGTGGACGTACCATCTAGCTGTGGTTGCAGCCCTTGCGCAGAGACTACTGATTATCAGATGGGTGATAAAATTGATATACGCATGCAACCGCTACCTCGTTTGCGGTCTGGCAATTTCAACTAAACGCTGAAAAAATTGACTTTGCTTTCGGAAATACCTTCTATGTTTAATTTTAAGATTTGTTACTAAAAAGCGAAAATAAAACTTACTTTCAGAAAATATTAAAAATTAACAACTCGTCTTTTTATTTTTGGTAAAGAACCGTGGTACACTCTCACCATTGCTAGTTCAAGGTGTGAGCTCGTGAGTTGAGCTATGGCCGCGTTCTATGCCGGCAATTGTGCAAAGTGCCGCCTGTGGTAGTGGTAGTGGCTCGTCCTTAGTTTCGATCGCTTTTATATTTTCATAACATTTTGCTATGCCAACAACTATTTTATGCTTTCGGTCTTAAGTAACATTAGTTGCTTGCATTTCAAATGAGCAACATCAAGTATTCGCCACTTTGCCAGCATACTGATTTATGGTTGTGTCTGTCACGTAATCGAAGTGTCGTAAAATGGATTGCAACAAGCAATGATTGGAAGTGGAATATTTTTAAAACTTTCTGTGTGGTTCAGTGCGGTTCAAACTCGATTGAAATTCATGAATATTCAAATGAGCTTACTAGCTGCAAAAAGCTTAAAGCAACTACTCGAAACAAAAGTCAAAAAGCTGTTTACTGGGGTGGGACTCACAGCTATGTACATATCATCTTGTGTTTGTATATTTTTCGTGTGGTAGTTATTTATATATTTATAATTCGATGAATACAGCAGTAAAGCCTTTTTTAAAATGTTTTATTATATACTTAAAATGTCTTAACTTTTCTATTCCATTTTTTCTTTAAAGAAATTCATTCATCTTTAAGCTTACACTCCTTTTCTCAATTCCTATCATTTGTGCACTCCATTTTTGACCTTCGGGAATGGTGAATGACTAATAACGTCAGTGACAATGTCCTCGTTATGAGTCGTTTACCATTATTGTGGTCAAGCTCACTTCAGCTAGTGTTCAAGGGAAGTCAAGCAGGGCTTACGCGATTTCATATCAGATATCAAACTAAGGACTCAACGAGTTTAAGCTGGGGTTAAGCGATTCACACTTAAGCTCAATCGATCTCAAGCAAATAGTCATTTTCCAAATGAATCGTTTTAAATTATTCCAGCATATTTTTCTTACTCAATGAAACTTCAATTCAGTTATCGCTTAACTTAGCGCATTTTCAGAAGCTAAAAAACCGAATATGAGGGCGTTGGTGTCTATGGATCACTTTATGTCGAAAATATCGCCCGATTTGTAAGATATCTTTATATTTGGGTTTATCTCTATCTCTATCATTATCCCTATCTTTATCTCTATCTTTATCTTTATCTTTATCTTTATCTGTAAACTTAAATTTATCTTTAACTTTATCTTTATATTTATATTTATCTTTATCTTTAGAAATTCAGAAGCCTGAAAATCATGATGAAGCATAAGTGAGAGTATCGGATGCACGACAGCTTAAACAAAAACAAATAACTAACCGAAAAAGGTAAAAGCAAGAAAGGGAAAAAAGTGAGCAAAACCAAACAAATTAAGTTATAATACAAGCGACAGCTTTCTAAACACATGCGAGAGTGATACGTGGATCCAAGTGAGTTGGGACACATGTCGCGTGTGTTATGACAACATTACATGCTGAAAACAACTAAAGGTGGGAGAAGAGAAAAGCATAAGAGACAGCATAACAAAATGGAACACACAAATGAACACATAGGCAAAAAATGAGTGACAAGTCAACCCAAAGCATGGAACGACTATGGTTTATCGTATGTTTGTGTGAGTGTCAGTGTAAGTGAGAAGAAGAAGCATGCAAGAAAAAAAATTTCGGATGAATGACGTCGTAGAAGAAGACATTTGTGATAAGCATGTGCTGATAAGAAACAGACAAGCAGACCGCCAACGGCATAAAAAGGTAAGCAAACGCATACAGACATAGAAATTGTGCATAACTGTAAGGTATATGCGCATACACACACATATATTATATATTGCCGTTGGCGAGGCATTTATCAATGTCTTGTTGTGTTGGTGCCGAGACGCGCAACGTGACGAGAATATAGAACAAATTATACGCCGCTCAAGGACATGCGACCAGGCAAACATTTTGCGCTAAACAAACGAATACAAAAACAAAACAAAGCGCAACACGCGGCTGAATAGTGTGCTAACAATGGAATTTCATGATCCATGTGCAACAATCATAATACAAATTACGAAGCTTACTTAAGCAACAACAATACAAATAAGAAATAAATGGCAGAAGTGCCGTAGAGCTGAATGCAATAAAAGCGTGCTTCAATTGTTGTTGTTGGAATGTGTGAGCTAAAAAATAAAGTAGCAGCGTTTGCTGGCTTAAAGCGAAAAGCACAAAATGAAAACTCGCCGCTCCGTTTCTGCAGTTGTCACTTGCAAAGGCGAACGCGACGCTGATGAAGCTGCCAACTACTCGGTGAGTGATGTGGCAAAAGCGTTGAAGATAACATGTATTGTTGTTCTGCTTTCATGTGTGTTGGTAGTGGAGCATTGTCGTTTGTGCAAAAGCAAGAGCTGGATAGAGCATTACAGTAACGGTGGAGTATTAATGAAAGTGTGTTAGAAGTTGAGGGTTACATATTTTTGGTGTTGGCTGAAAGCATCATGTTTAAATATACATTTATAACATATGTTTGTCTAAATGATATAAATATAAACATATATATATATATATACATATAAATTAGGGTGGAATTTTTTTTTGGCTTAGCCTGGGGGTAAAATCTGTAGATTTTAAACAAAACAAAAAATGTTTGGCAATAAAAAAAAAAAAATTTTTAACACCAAGAGGCGGCGCACTCAATTTTAAAGTCTCGAGTTAAAATTTGTATTTCTTAAACAATTTTTGATACGTGTTTTAGAAGCTATGGAGAGTCCTCTTTCTGGCCAATTAAAATTTGTCAACAAAATATTTTTGTGGTCATTATTGGAGTTTTAAAAAAAGTCTTAATTGACCACATGCTTTCCCTAGGCGTTAAAATAAATTTTGAGTCAAAAACCTCAATTTCGGTATATTTTATATAAACGTGAAGAGTTTAAACCAAAAAATTTTTTTTTTGTCCAAAAAAAATTATAATCCGACATTTACTTTGAAACTGAAAGCACCTCTAGGTGTTAAAAACTTTTTTTTTTCGCTCCACCCTAATATATATATTTTGAGTTTCTTCTTTATTCACTTAAATTAATATTGTTATTTTTCTTTATTTTCGGCATCAAAATTACTGCAGTGCAAAAAAAAAGTGAAATCGTTAATATTATAATACACTTCACAGGTGTATTTCTTGTAGCAACCATGTGTTTAGCTAAATCGGAAAACATTTCGCTAGTTCTTTCTAGTCACATAAAAAGGGTTTTCATACAATAATTTTATTTTGATAGGCCGGTTTGCATGGTAGCTATAAACTATAGTTGTCTGATCTAAAAAATTTCGTCAAAGATTATAGCGTTACTTTGGACAATAATACGTGCTCAACTTCTTGAAGATATCTTGTCAAATGAAATGGTTTTTCATACAACAACTTGATTTTGATCGAACCGTTTGTATGATAGCTATATGCTATAATTTAGATAAACGCTAATTTTTTTTCTGTAGAAAATATCGTGTACAAAATTTCAATTCGATATCTTTAAAATTAGGCTACTAGTTCCCGTTTTAATATGGTATAAATCATTGTGCGGTGTACTAAGCGTATACGTAACATTGGTGCACACCTCAATTTGCGAAATATTGATTTAGATTCAAATCGTTAAGAAGAACATATTAACTAATAAAGCGACTAAGAGTCTTTTTATTTACTGAAAAAATGTAGAAATAAAGCATATCGATTTTTTTAAAAGCAGCAAACATTGTATTATTAAAAAATTTATTTATTTTATGTACTTTACAATGCGGTTTTTAAACACCCACTCTCAAATTTAAAAGCGTGCTCAAATTACTTTATTTGCCACTGCCAAATATTAATAGCTGAACGCTACTGAATTCCAAATTAGATCCTTGCTACCCTTTTTTATATCTTCTTGCATTTTTATGCCGTTCCTTTAAACAACTTCAAGACATTATATTTGGCTTATTATGCCATTTAGGCTTGTTATTTTTTATGATTACCGCTTTTAAGGGTTAAACATGCCTTTTAACCAAGCTGTTATGTTGATATCCTGCTCTATTAAGTATAACAGCGTTTTTGTGTTGGTATGAGCGCTTATTTGTGTGTGTTAAGATGTGTAAGATACGCTGCTTGTTATATATAATTTGCTTCTCAGGTTTGCTGCTTGGGTTCGCGTGCGTGTTTATGATTGCTGCTTAATTTTGTGTTCCCAACACTTTAAGCACCGAAACAGTTTTGGGCTGTAATTTTAGCATAAACGCGTGTTTGTGTGCGGTTGTAGGTAGGAAAGAAGTAAATTGTAAGAAATTGCTTAATTTAGTGGGGTTGATATAAATGAATATGTTTGTAAAATATATTTGTTACGACGAGCGCAACGCTGTTGTGTGTATGAGAGCATTCTTTTATGAATTTTTGACATAAAAAATATTCTTAGAATAATTTAGTTATAATATATAAACGTTAAAGGTTTTCGCATTTGATACGCAGGTTCATAAAAACGTTTAGGTGATGGTGGAAAATACTATGAAAACTTGCTGGGAAGTCCAAATATGTCTAAGTACGTCGTACTTTTGATAGAGGCTTGTGGAAGATATGAAAAAATTTCCTTAAAAATCTTAGAATTTTGGTATCATTATTTTTCTAAGAAAACTATTTTTGAGATCAAATATTTTAAAACTAAAAATTTATTCGATAAGAACAATCTTTTTTATATAAGGTCTTAGGGTCACGAGAAAAGTTTTGACCCAGAATTTCCACAAGACTAATTTTCCTGAAACTAAATATCTCAATATTTCAAATTTTAAAATTTATTCCACAAGAAATATTTCTTTGTTACAGACATTAGGTTTTTGATCAAAATTTTTCATTAGACATTTTTTTCTGAAACTTAATATTTTAATTGTACAAATTTAAATTTCTTTTTAATTTTTGTTTACTCAAAAAATAATTATAATTCTCCCCATAGCATTTTTATTTTAACATTGCTTTAGTCCATCACCATTATAAGCTC